TTTAGGTTCTGAACTAATATATCAAGACACCTCAGGAAGAAAATATAATACAATTTAGCTAAATCTGTATAAATCAAGATCCAGAAGCACACTATTACACATATTATACATATTCATGATACATCAGCGACCAAGTGACCCACTTTTACATGTAGGTCCCTTTCAAGATTTTGTTTGGCTCTAGCTTACAAAAATGAACATGCCAACAACAAAAAAAACTCCAACAAAAAAAATAAAATAAAATAAAACAAACAGAGCCAAGAAAGGAAAGAGCTGCTCTGAATTGCATCACAATAGAAAATGAAGTGCACAAGTTTACAAAGACATCAAAAAAGACATTTATGATTAGAATAAGTTAGGACTGAAATGACATACAGCACATTTATCCTTAAACTTTAAGAAGTATAGTTCGCTTGTGTTACACAAACCTCTCAGCATTATTAACTTTAGTCCCAGTTTGGAAGGATCTGCTTACTCTAATCAGTGTCTCAGCAGAACCACTCTTCTTTATAGTATTAATAAACTAAACTGTTGCATTTTGCTTTAATATGCCAAACCCGCGGTTCTTCTCTAGCACTTGAAGAAACCGTTTACTTTTGATAAAACAAACGCTTATCCTCTGTCACGATACCTAAACCTGAAGATTAGGGTAGTTTTTTTGCGGACGCTTCTGACACCTGCTGGTCGAAGTTGGACACTACAACATCTCTCTCCTTTGACTAATAAAATTGTTTTCAGTTAGAAGTGGCAGTTACTTTTCATGGCAGCTGCTGAACTTTTTTTTTTAAGTCAGGCAATTTGCTCTACAAAAAAAAGTTGCTAACGGTTGATTTCTGTATATTTCTTTCTTGTAATTAGCTGAGCAGCAGCAGCTTGTGAACGAAAAGAAAGGCAGTACGAGTCGATTCATTAGGAGAGGGGGATAAAACTTTACACAGTTTTATTCCTTGTCTCGTACTCAACTTGATAATCATTTAAATTACCACGCTACATATAAATTACTCTCGTTATCTTCCAAATGTTAGTCATAGATGACAAGTATCTTTCTTCCGAACATTGTGTGTGGTCGAGTCCCGGCCCCCCTAATTTTTCGGTACAGTTGGTTGCATCCGTTGCCGCTGTGTGTTGCTCCCTTCCTGAAAGACACTTGCGTTGGAGCCGCTGATGTCGTTGAGCGAAGGCTGGTGAGTTTAGGCTCTTTTTGCTGTTTTAATTCGTTTCTTCTATTAATAATGGGCATTTTTTGGGAAGCCTCAACCTCCCGTATAGATTCCTACATACACTTTTCTAATTATACGGCTAATTAAATCAGTGTTATGCCTCTTTTGTGTCCCCTATCTCCTCCCGCTGTGGTTGGCGGTGTCGTGGACCTGGTCGCTTATGTTTACAGTCCCTGCCAGCGAGCAAGGTGGATGAAATATGTTATATAATGTGTATTTATCCTAAGCAACAGCTCATATGTTGGTCCGATAGTTTGTGATAGATGGTGCGAATTAAATAAAAGAGCAGCACGGGATCTTGAAGCCCTTTACGGGAGGGTATTTAAAAGGCAGCTTCTTAACACCGGGGAAGGAGGTGGACAGGCAACGGAGATAATACTGACTGCTGCAGGTGTTTGTCTGTTGGTTTGGTGGACTGCTGCAGTCAACCAAACCAACAGACAAATCCATTAGAAATGAGCAAATCCATTTCAAAGAGCGAGGAAATGGGTGCAGCAAAGTACAGAACTAGTTTGGTAGAAACGCTAATGTACGTCAGGTGTTTCCCCAGGTAAAGAGGAAGCTCACAAAGTGAAAGCAAAGAGCAGGCGTTATATTATGAGAACAAAAAGGACTGCTTTAAAAAAGGTGGTACACGCTACTGCCAAATTATTAAAGGGATTTGTTTAAAGTTATGTCCACCGCCTTCATTAGGGCATGAGATTTTGAAGTGCTTTAAAATAAAGTCAGGATAATTGTATTCACTATCCATGAATGTGCGGTTGATTTCAAATTAATTGATGTGCTAAATGCTCCTGGATAAAAGGATACTTGGTACACTGCAATAAAATACTAAAATCACGAGCAAATATCCAATCTGAGAAACTGGAAAGTGTGATTTCTTTGTGTCATTTTTTTAAATACTAATTACAGGTCTAATCTAAAAACCCATATTTAGCCTGTGTAATCAGTTTGTACAGAGCTAGTACAGCTTACTAGAAGCTCTTGTGTTCTAGATTAAATATTAAAGGGTTGTTGTTGAAGTTGATTTTGTTAATGTGTAACCAAAAGAATGTCTTCACATAACTTATTTAGGGTTTGGCTGATTAAAGGTTTGAGGCGCCTTATTGTCTTTTTGTTTATTGTTTTTACACCCCAACAGAGACGATAATTTCAGGATTCCTGAAGTCAACTCCCACATGGCAGTGAACCACGTCCTTACAAACTGAACCAAGTATACTCTGCTCCACGACGTTGCCCTCTTAGATGCCTTTCAGTGTCAGTTTTTGCAAATGGCTTGCTCTCTGAAGGACGAGCTTCTGTGTTCCATCTGCCTCAGCATCTACCAGGACCCCGTCAGCTTCGGCTGCGAGCACTACTTCTGCAGAAAGTGCATCACCGAGCACTGGAGCAGACAGGAGCCTCACGGAGCGCGGGACTGTCCCGAGTGCCGGAGGACCTTCGCCGATCCACTACTTTCGCCAAGTCTCAAGCTGTCCAACATTGTGGAGCGCTATTCAGCCTTCCCACTGGACGCCATCCTTAACGCACAGAGGAGTTCCTACCCCTGTAAGGACCACGAGAAGGTCAAGCTCTTCTGCCTCACCGACAAAAGCCTCGTGTGTTTCTTCTGCGACGAGCCGGCGCTACATGAGCAGCACCAAGTAACCACTATCGACGAGGCTTACGAGGAAATACAGGTCAGTCATAGCGCACACACTCTGACAGCTCATTAGCAAGAGCGAGGCTGACATTTTCTTAAAACCCATCAGCACTCTGCTCCACGTTCAGACTCTTTCACCCGTGGGAGCTGCCCAGACAGTTCAGCATTAAGTCCACTCCTGCCCAGAGAAGCTGCACTGAAGCAGTTTGGGGATTTGGTGCTTTTTGCTTTTGAGTGTTTCAGGTACAGCAGGTGCTGATGAATGAGGCACATCTAATTTGCTTCTCCCTGATGCCCACAAGTCCACTGACCTGAAATCATAATGAGATTCCAGTTTGTAAGTCCCGTTATGATCAGAGGTTAATAGTTTCATTTCTTGGTTCAAACTGAACTGAAATGATGGTTAGGAATGCAGCTCCTGCTGCCTGGAATGAATCACAAAGAAATTGAAAGAAGCAGTCACTCTTTAGGTGTGTTCAAGGAAGTTAAGAGAATAAGACAAATCTGATTCATTTAGATTTTTTTTTTTTTAAACTTCTTTACTTTTTTGGACTTCCTGTTTTTTTTTTTGGGGGGGGGGGGGGGGGGGGTTGTTTGTTTTGTTTTTTTAATACAAGTAGGTGTTAGTTATGTAACACCTTTTTATTTAATTAAGTTTAGTTTTGTGTTGTCAGTGTCTTTGTCTGCTTCTTCATTGTTATGCCTCTGGTTTGGCAGTTTCTCCTTTAAAAGAAACAAACAAACTTGCAAATAAAGTTCATATCGCCAGGGTGATCTCGAATCGGTTGGGGACCTTTCCTGCTTAGGTAAAGTGCTTCTCTACGCAGAAACGCATGGCTTTTTTTTTTTTCCACATTACTAATTAAAGTCCTGGAAATATTCCAGGAAAAAAG